CTCTCTCTCTCTCTCTCTCTCTCTCTCGCTCGCTCGCTCGCTCGCTCGCTCGCTCTCTTCTCCTCCCGCTCGCTCCCTTTCGGTTTGTCCCTCTGTGTATTTAGATATGGATATTTTTGACAGATACATGTATCAATGATCAGCATGGCGTATATTTATCAGAGATATAAAAGACGGGATGACGAGGGTGTAGATTTTTTTTTCCCTTCTGAAAAAAAAATAAAAAATTCCCGTGCTGGAGTACCCGAGAGGTGCGAACGAAATCAATCAAACGTACCCTTGGGACCGTCACATTGGAAGGGTTCTGTCCGTTTAGAACCGTTTTTCTTTTCTGCGTCCGTTTGGAACCGTTTTTAATTCTGCGGAAAATTAATTTGAAATCCGAAATTGACATTTCTTTTTAATATTGCGTCCGTTTGGGGCCGTTTTCAATACTTTGGAAAATTCATTTTGAAATCGAAAATTGACGTTGCGTCGAACCCTCTGTCTGAAGCATTTCATCAGACGGTCGCATTCGTATCCATCTAATTATCCATGCGTATGTATATACAATATAAAGTTTAAAATTATATATTTTATAGTATGTATATATATATTATATCTGTTTGTGACGATATATATATATATCGTCATATATATATATGTACTTAACGGGCAGCTCTGTTTGACGATATATACTATATGTCATCCACATATACGTAGATGTAGAGGATATCGACATATGCACTTCACATATTAACGTATCAATAAATGAATTTGTGTATATCCGCAGGTGATGAACCTGGTCAATAATTGTGTCCAAATACATGTATATACTTACCGGGCATATATATGTCATCCACATATACGTAGATGTAGAAGACATCCACATATGCACTTTACATATTAACGTATCAATAAATAATTCTTTGTATATCCGCAGATGATGAACCTGATTATCTATGATGATCTAAGTAAACAATCAGTGGCATATCGACAAATGTCATTATTGTTACGTCGACAAATTGTTGTCCAAATACATGTGACAGGGGTATTGATGGAATTGCAATAGTACTGTGGGAGTACTCGACTTCGTACCCACTTTTCCCGCCGATTCTTTCCCGCCGATTCTTCCCCGCCGATTCTTTCCCGCCGATTCTAAAACAACAGAGGGGAACTCGAGTTAGTGGGCTAGGTCCCACTTACACGAATTAAGCGATATTGACCGTAGATAACGAAGATCAACGGCCAGAATCTCTTAATCCGTGCAAGTGGGACCTTGCCCCGTACCTCGTTGCAGTACTGGCTAAAAAAAATTAATTTAAATTTGGATAAAATTGTACACCGTTAATGGGGGAGATATATTTTGTGTTTTTTCACATTAAATTTTGGCAAGTGGTTGAGAGCGGGTTGTCCTCCGCTGTGTAAGCATCGTAAGAATGATATTTTATTTCTTTATTTCTTTAAAGTATTTATATTATATTTTTCGTGTAAATTTTATGTCGCTTTGAATTTGTTTTTTTTGGTCATATATACTGGCTGTCAACATGATTCACGTCCATTTAAAAAAACAAACAAACATGATTCAGGACTTGTGGCCTCCGCTTCCGCCTGGTTTCCGCGTCCGCCCCCGTGTGATGCGCGCGCCTCCGCGCGGTCCTCCCCTGTTCCGCTGGTTAATTGGGTTCACTGTTAACCAAAGAAAAAACAGAAAAAAAAGGGGAAAAAGGAGAATATGAAGCAAGGAGCGATTCTGTCATTACGGAGAGAAAGCAAGGGGAATTATCTTTTTCGTATGCTTTTTTTTTTTTTTTTTTTTTTTTTTTTTGTCATCATGTCGATTTATATGCTTACAGGTAAATGGATTATGGATCTGCGTTATGCCTTTTTTCCCTTATATTTTTAAAAAAAAGAACTTATCCTTTTTCATGGATATTTTTTGAGCGATGTGTATATATATATATCTCGCTATGTATATGATGTGCTCTTCTCTCTCTCTGCCTACGGTTTACCGGGCTACTCTGTTTGGTGATATATATGTTGTAGGTATAAATGTGAAAAATAGATACATATAAAGAGTAGCTATATAGATTTGAGTCTATATATGTGTATATATATAATCGTGTGATGGTCAAGTTATAGTAGTTTCTTAATTGGCAAAAGAAAGTGCATTTTGCCATTGATCATGTCCTTTCTTAATCCGGTAATACTCGTGCATAGTGTAATGCTACTATTAAAATTGTTATACGCTATATAAATCGTGCATTGGTTATTACTTTCTTAATCTGGAAAGTATGCTTTGATGATGTGCATGCTTGGTTGCTTTGTTATTATATAAAGTGTGCATTAATTACGTCGCCCCTGCCAACGGGGGATTGGTCCTTTTTGTTTTTTTGTTTTTTTTTTATACCGGAAACAGAGACGACGGACTCACTTACCTAATCGGGTAAACTGGATCCGTTTATCGACTGGGTGATTCTGTTAAGATTCCGTTTTTCATTTTCGTTTATCGTTTATTCTGTTTATGATTTCGTTTATAATTTCATTTATAATTTCATTTATAATTTCATTTATAATTCATTCCATTTATTAGCAGTGTTAAGCCTTCTTCCGTTTACCATTTCTCTCATCACTCCGTTTCTCATTTATAATTTTCCGTTTGTCATTCTGTTTATCATTCCGTCTGTGGCTTTTTTTTTTCACCCAAAAAAACAGTTCTCCATTTTTAATATACAATGCTGACGTTCCGTATACATTTTGTTAATTAAATTATTATTCAATAATATTCATTGAATTTTCATTCCGTTTATCATTCTGTTTATAATTCATTCCGTTTAGCATTCCGTTTATCGTTTGCCATTCTGTCCGTTCCGCATTTTTTTTCTTTTTTTCCCCCTTTTTGAGAGCCCGTTCCGGTTATCAGTCCCCGGTCTTTTTTCATCCGTTAATCATTCGGTTTTATAATTCAGTCCGTTTATCATTCCGTTTACCAACTCGGGATGCGTTTATCATTTCCTTTATCAACTGCATTCTTCATTGCATTTCCTGACTTCAGTTTCTATTACTTTAATGACATAAATAAATAAATAAATAAATAAATAAATAAATAAATAAATAAATAAATAAATAAATAAAGTAATAAAATAATAAAATAAAATAAGCGAATCCTTTTTTTAATTTTTTTTTTCCTGATCGGTCATTTTTGAAATCTACGGTCAGAAATGAAGAACCGTGATAAGTGGAACGTGATCTGAGGAGGAGTGAGGTATTGAACTCCCGTTCGCTTATAAACATTGACATTTTTTGAATTTTTTTCTGCTGATTTTTTTACCTTTTTTTGGGGGGTGAGTACATAAAACTGAGGGCCTACAGAACGCGTGGGTACCATAAAAAAAATGCAAAAAAAAAAAAAAATGGCGTGTGTACGTTGAATGCTGTTAGACTGCTGCTTCCTTTTTTTTTTTTTTTTTTTTTTTTTTTTTTTTGGGTCAGCGTCCACTTTCTGTTTGGCGACAGTTCTAATTTAGGGAAACGGATGTGTTATGTTTTTTTTTTTTTTTAATAAGTATAACAAATGCATTCCATGGTCGTAGGTGTTGTATATTTGCCATTTTGTCGTTTCTTCTCCTGTTTTTATGTTTGTTTTTTTTTTCGTTTTTTTTTTTTATTTTTTGTCGTTTCTTCTCTGTTTTTTTTTTTTTTCCCTGAAAAAAATCAAATCGTCTGGGCAGAGGTCCCACCAGCAAAAAAGGATTCGATGAAGAGCCTGAATCTGGATATGTTTTCTGCAGATATGCAGAAAAACAGATGAATGACGGTTTTCTGCACCTGTCCACAAACACGTCCAGATTCTGGCGCTAAATCCAAACCATTTTTGCTAGTGGGACTGGCAATCAACGAAGGAAGACCCTCCCCCCCCTCCTCCCCGTCCTTTTCCCTCGGCGGCTGAATTACAGACCTGTCGTCTACATCATCCTTATCATTTCTCTTTATTAGTTATTATTTGTCTTTATTAATGAATTATTTTTCGAAGTTCTCTTTGCTAAATATTTTTTAATGATTCATAAATGTTTTCTTTTTGTTACTTTTTATCAAATTTTCTGAAATGTTTATCGCTTTTTTTTCTGTATTGTTTATTATTTTTCTGTAAGGTTCGAATTTTTTGAGACGGATGTGAAAATTTCAAATCCTCTTTTTCCTTCTCTCCCTCTCCTGGCAAGGTATATTTTAATTTTAACTTTGTTCTTAAATCTTTTATTTTTTTCATCACGAAACGTTGTCTTTTACGCTATAATCTAATATCGATAGTGTATTTTCAGATAATTTTGACTCCCCTCCTTCTACAACCACCCCCCCCCCCGGGTGCCCCTTCCCCCCCATGTCCCCCCCCCCCCCCCCCGCAGGCCCCCCCCCCCCACCCCTCCCTCCAAAAAAAAATAAATAAAAAAATTGTTACTTGGTGCAGCTGTAAAGTTCTACTCGGTGGATGCGCTTGGATTCTCCTCGCTGAACCACGCACACATTCCGGTCGGGATCCCGGTCCCGTTTGCACGGATTTAGAGACAGAGAACCACAATGACTTGTTCTCCACGGAATAAAAGAAAAAAAAGGAAAAAAAAAGGGGAGGAAAAAAAAAGAAGGCTGTCGACTCCGCACGGATCAAGTGAGAGAGAGAGAGAGAGAGAGAGAGAGAGAGAGAGAGAG